TCTTTAAGCATGCTTCACTTTGTCAGACAGGTTCTATTTAAGTGATTTCTTGATTCAACAGGTCTGGCAGTAATCAGGCCTGCGTGTGGCTAGTGAAATTTAACTCAGCTTTCTAAAATAATGTGGTTAATTGCAGTTCGTTCATGATTTAACAGGAGGGGGCAATTAATTTTTCACGTAGGGCCACGTAGGTTTGGACAGCTTTTTTCCCTTAATAAATGAAATCATCATTTAAAAACTGCATTTTGTATTTAATTGCATGATCTTTGTGTAATATTTAAATTTGTCTGATGATCTGAAACATTAAAGTGTGACAAACATGCAAAAAAATAAGAAATCAACACTTTTTCACACCACTGTATATATGTACTGTTCACTAAAAATGACTATAATACACCCCTTTTTTTATTTCTGAATTAAAAGTAATTTTGATATTTTTGTCAGATGTCAAAAAATGTCTAGGCGGTGCAACTGTCCAAAGATTGTAAAAGAGAGAAAAAAAGTGTCATTAAAAAGTTGAATTCTTGAAAAATAAAATAAAATAAAATAAATGTTGGCATAAGGTAGTTTGGAATACTCTTTTATTGTTCCTTTTTTATTTATATATAAAAAAAAAGGGGGAATCAATATTTTTCTGCCAAATTAAAGTCAGTGACTGAGCTCAAAATAGCATACTACCCATACATGTTTTTCCAAATCTCCTTTTTATCATCTTGGACTATCCTTATCTGTCACTCAAACTTAAAGACTCCCAAAAGTGGTCAGATAGATTGAACCTGACTTGCACCCAAACATTATAATGGTTAATGGACCACCACATGCTCTTTAATTCTTCTTAATGTGCAGACAAGATAGTTAATCCTTTCTGCTGTGCCTTAAATTGTGCACATAGTAATTAATAGCAACAAACGGAGTACAAATATGAATTTGAACGCCTCTCTTCTTTGTCTGTGATGAACTGGCCTGTCAGGACTTCACAAAAGTTATCTGTTGATAGGAAGAAAGAGGTTAGTGCTCAGTGACCTGGGTGTGGTGTCATGAATAGAAATCATCATTTAAAAAAAATCTACTGTAAACTTGTATTTTACGCTTATATAAATCCAATTTTTGTATTTATATTACACCTCCCGAATACAAATGTTAGAAGCCGTTTGTAAACTTGCCATATTTTACATGTTTTTATACAGTCTATGGTAGTACTGCTGTTTTAAATACTTAATGTGTCTGTAATTCAATACATTTACGTTATACTGTCGAAATAATCCTCTACTATTAAGTGCACTCTGTCACAAATAACAGTATTAGTAAATGGTAAACACTAATAGTAGACAAACGGCATGGTTTTTCCAACCGCCAATGAGAGCGCCGTATATATATTCGAATATTGAACATGATTGACACGTCTGTTGGCCAATGAGAGAGCTGATATCAGTTTGCAAACGTTACGGTGCCATAGCGACAAGAGAATGACGCTTTGTATTCCCAACAATAGTGAATGGCAGTGGTTCAAGTCCGTCGCGCGAAGGGAGTTCCGAGATAAACGAAGAAAAACTTTGGAATTAAAAAGAGTGCAGGTAAGAGCCGGCATATATATTTGTTGTTAATAAATACGTGAACTTTAAGTGAAAGAGGTGCGTTTGGGACGCAAGCTTGTTTACATACTGTGAATGAAGTGTTTGGCGTGACACGAGAGCTCAGACCAATCGGATAGTTTTGTATCTGTCTTTTCCTTTTTAAAAAGATCATTAACGTTCATCATTTTGTAACATTTTTGAAGAAATGAGATTAAAGCAGTTCAATTTATCCAATTCATCACAATCTGAATAACGTTTTTTTTATTTTTTTTTAAGTTCACTTAGTAGCCCTGCGTTATGAATAAAAAAAAAACGAAACGCAGTTCGTAAAATGGTTATAAAATATTATAAATATTATAATATTAGTATATTATATATATAAATAAATATCACATATCTATATAACTTATAGGTTCAGAACACTACACGAAATAAAATTAAGAAACTTTCATTTTCATTCTTTTCATTTGTTTATAATTGTTTAAAATAATTTAATAACATGCCACTATATATATATATATATATATATATATATTTATATATACACACACACATATATAAAAAAAAATGGTAATCCTTT